TGTAATACAAATACAGTATTACAGTTAGTTCACAGTGCATAAACTAATGTTAACCAACACAACTTTTGATTTTAATAGTGCATTAGTAAATGTTGAAATTAATATGAACTAAGATTAATAAATGCCATTCTTACTTCATGTTAACTAATGTAGTTAACTAATGTTAACTTATGAACCTTATTGTAAAGTGTTACCATAATATTCATTGACATATTTACTAATTAATTTTTTTATTTTATTTTTTTATTTTTCATTTTCATTTTAGTAATTCTGTTAAGTGCTTTCGGCATTTTTACCTATTTTATTTTTTTTATATTTCTGTTCATCTATTTTTTAAAGATTTTATAGCTTGTATTTTTTTATAAATGTATTTTTATTTCAGTTTTAGTAATTTTAGTAATGTACTTAACTTTTTTCCAGTTAGCAGGATTATTAAAGTAACTAAAAATAAAACCATTAAAAAAATTATAATATTAATATAAAAATAAAATATTAATATTAAATATTAAAATTAAATAAAATATTCACTTTTTTGTTCAGATAGTTGCCAAGGCAACATTTCTCATTTTCATCTAATTTAGCTTGATGTACTGAAATAACTAAAAATAAAATTAAAATAATAAAAAAAATATATAGACATTAAGAAAAAAACAAAAACTAATAAAAATGACAAAAAACTAATATTACAAGAACTTGCATGAAAAACTTAAAACTGTTGCACTGGCAACGAACTGAAATGAAATAAGTTTAAACTGAAGTACTTAAATAACTAAAACTAAAATAATAATAATGAAAATGAAATTAAACAGAAATATTAAAAAAATGATAAAATCACAAAAGCACTTAAAATGAAAACTAATTCTAATTTTTGTTTAAATTTCTCATTTAATATTTATTTCACAATTTTTTAATAATATATTTTAACAAAAACATTTTTTTTAGCTTTAGTTAAGAATAAAAACCCTGAGCAGAAGTGAATATTCCACTCAGTTTTCTGCATTATTCCTGAGAAACCTTTTGTTGCTGTCACAAATCATTAACCCTGTTTGAGCAACGAGTAATTGAACCATGAGAAATTACTTTTTCCATTCACTTAATTTATCAGAGAATTCATAACGTTCATCTGAGTAGTTGCTAGGCAGACCAGGGTTATTATTGTTAACTAAACATTCATATTCACATATTAACTCCAATAAACAAAAATATAAGCCACCTATCAACAAGACAAAAAAACATATTAAATATATTGCACATGTAAGTAAGGTACTGTCCACATAATCTAATTTGGACACTGACACAATTTTCATAATTTCAGCTCTGTATGCCACCAGAATAGAATTAAAATGAAACAATCAAGATGAAATTGAAGTGCAGACTTTAAGCTTTAATTCAAGGAGTTGAAATAAATATAACATAAAATGCTTAAGAATTACAACCATTTTTATACACAGTCCCCCCATCTTCAGGGGCTCAAATGTAATTGGACAAATAAATAAAATGTTCATTTTTAATATTTCGTTGAGAATCCTTTGCAGGCGATGACTGACTTAAGTCTGGAGCTCATGGAGATCAGCAGAGACTGGGTTTCTTCTTTGTGATGCTTTGCCAGACCAAAGTTTTTGTGTGTTTGTGGCTCTTTCTGCTTTAGTGTTGTCTTCAGTGAGTGAAATGCAGCTCAATCGGGTTGAGATCTACGAAGCCCGGGAAGTCACCTGTAGGAGAAAAAAAAACAATCCGTGGCGACGGTTTTGCAATCCGTCCCCAGTTTATAAACCGTACTCACGAATTCTTACACTGTTCTCTCGGTTTAACAAATCATGCCCACGGATTAATAAACCGTACCCACGAATTTCCAATCCGTGCGCTCAGATTTTGTAAACCGTACCTTCGATTTTTGAATCCGTACCCACAAATTCATAATCCGTGTCCACGCTTTCGCAATCCGTTCCCTCGGGTTTGTAAACTCGTGGATTTGTGGCCCCGCCCCCACCGGCAGATTCAACCACGGTGCGGGATGCATAGTATTGTGTTTATTAAACATTATTTTTCATAGTAGCCAATGAGACCATGATCCGCACTCACAAAATAGTCTTCTTTTTAGCGTTTATTTATATTAATCACCAATAGGATAAAACACCTCCGCCTGTGGTTTATAGCCTAAAATAAACGCTAAAAAGAAGAATATAATTTTGCCTGAATTTTCTAAAAAATAAAACGATAGAGTTCCGAGAGAAGAAGGTAAAAAGCAATACAAAACCAATAATGTACCGTATGTCCATAGAAAGCACATTAAATGTAAGTAAAGTGTCTACTTTTCAGGTTTCAAATAAGTTTTTGGAGAATAACATGTCAAAATTTGGTTGAAATAATGTTACATTGTCATTCAGTGTAACACAATATTTATGTAAAAATTCAAACAACATAAAAATATGTTAAGAATGAATAGTACACAAACACAGCTCCAAAACTGTAAAAGGTTATTTCAAAATAAAGCATTCATTAATTATTTTATGACAAACATTTTACTGTTTTCAGTGCACTCATTTATTTAGCCTATAAATTAAAATAATAATAATAATAGCTATTATTATTATTTTACATTTAGGTTACATATGCGTTTAGAAGAAGGTTTTATCCAAAACGACTTACAAAAGAGGAACAAATGACTCCAAACTCAGTCACAATGCCAGGTTTATTATACAATAATAATCAAGTCCTAAGATTATCACAAATTAAACAAGATTTTGATGCACATCTTTCTTATTAAATCGTTGTATTCCACCTCGTACCGTTACAATTGATAGAGAATCACTTAAGACCATTTGCTGTAGGCCTATTCCACCTAATAATATGCAATAAAACAATATACAATATGATTCGTTAACACGTAGGCTACCTAGGAGCTTGCTGCATGAATCCGTGAGTACAGTTTACAAACCCAAGGGGACGGATTGCAAAACCGACTTCCCGGGCTCCGTAGAGATCACTTGACTTGGCCATTGCAGAATATTCCACTTTTTACCTTCAAAAACTACTGGGTTGCTTTTGCTGTATGTTTTGAGTCATCGTTCATCTGTACTATGAAGCGCCGCCCAATCAGCTTTGCTGCATTTGACTGAATCTGCGCAGAGAGTATATCTCTACACACTTCAGAGTTCATCCGGCTGCTTCTGTCTTCTGTCTCATCTTCACTAAACACCAGTAACCCAGAGCCACTGAAGCCATGCACGCTCATGCATCACACTGCTCCATGTTTCACAGATGATGCTGTGTGCTTTGATCATGAGCTGTTCCAAGCCTTCTCCACACTCTTTTCTTCCCGTCATTCTGGTGCAGGTTGATCTTAACTTCAGCCATCCAAAGCATGCTTTTCCAGAAGTGCTGTGGCTTTTTTAGATGTTTTTTGGCAAAGTCTAATCTGGCCTTGTTTGCAGCTTGTGGTGAAGCCTCTGTATTTGCTCTGGTGAAGTCTTCTCTTGCTTGTAGACTTTGACAGAGACTCGTCTTCTCTTGGCTGGATATATATACATATATATATATATATATATAAATGTGGAATTTCTCAATGCATCCATTAACTTTACTGAATGTTTTAATGAGTTTTAATGAGTTTGTACGCTTCCGTCCAGGCCTGTATAAACCTTATAACTGCACATCATCCTTCCTAAAAGCCTTTAATGACCGCTCTGTCTACACGAGTCAATATAAGACTCATAAAACACCTTTATATGCGTTAGACTGTAAGAATGACACCAGCACAAACTGTCCATGTGAGAACATGTTCACTAGTCAACCGTTCGTCAGCCGGCTTTATTCTGACAGACTGAACCGATAGAAGAACAGCATCAGTGCGCTGCATTACAGTGTGATGGAAAAACACACAGAAATCACAAAAACTGCTGAAATCATCAATTACATCTGATTAGCTGGTGCTAATACGTTTGCAGCATTACATCTTTCAAAGTTTTGTTTGAGGTTTGTTTGGGTTTATATATATATATATATATATATGTCATTTCCAGGGCTTTCCATATTACAATATAATCCATAATCATGGCTGAGGTGTGAGTGTTAAAGCTTGACTCACCGGCGTACTTCGGGATGTTGGACTCGTCCATGGACCAGAAGCAGTGGTCAAAGGCGAACACCTGCAGACACACAAACACACGCATGTTAGCACACGCCATCCAGCCTCACACGGACAAAAGACGCCTTTAAGTGTTTAACAGCACACACACACACACACACACACACACACACCCACAA